CAATGTTTCAATATTCAATCAATCAATGTTCAATCAATCAATGTTCAATCAATCAATGTTCAATCAATCAATACTCACTCAATTCAATGAATTGTAGTAAGTTTATGTTTAAGCCAAACAATATTTCAATTAATCAATGTTCTGTCAATTGTTTTCCATTGACCAGTTGTCAAAATAATTATGTTGCAGCCGCGCCCTGTTCACAGCGGCGCTAGTCGAGATGGAATTGTGTTAAGCTAAATCCGCCAAACGTGCATAGTTACTCATGTAATATGCACGCCGCCACAAACGTGGGGGTAGCTTAACACTCTACTCACAAAACCAGCCGTGACCCCCAGAATATATATCAATGATACTACTACTACTATAAATGATATTAAATCAAGTTGGCAGTTCACTATTTTTAAGCCCGCTTTTAAAAATTTTAGCTTACTGCCAGACGAATTGTATATATAAAATATCCTCTGTTGTAACTAGATTAATTATGCTTGGTAACTGAGTTAATTATTTTTGCGATCTTTTTCCTGATCGAACTTCCCATCACATCTGGAAACGACCCTATAGTTAACTTTACTGAACTATTTAAGGATTCGGCAGTGCATATCTTTACACAGCCAAGGTCATTTGCCCCGCAATAGAATATCGGATTAGGAACCCCATTCTAGCACATTCCTCTCTTGCTTTGTTACAACATACTAAAATTTACTGCTATAGAAGCCTGTGATTAAAATGAACAGATGAACCAAGTATCTAGAGAAAAAGTTCAAATGTCTTTCTTATTCTATTGAACTGCAGGGTTTATAATCTATGAATTATAACATTTAAATTGTTCTCTTCCAAATAATTGAATTGATTCGCATGAAAGTAATTAGCTTTTCAAGTTCTAAAAGAATATAATTTACATGTGTAGTGGATATATTTATATTGAGACGCAACACATCCAGTTTAAGGTTAATATAAATAATAAGTTACCAGGAATGTTTGCTCTGATTCGTAAACAATGGTGCATGACTAATAACTAACAATACAGAGAGTAACTGTGTCTCTTTACCCTACTGCCCCCCCCCCCGCAGTTTAACGTCTACGTGATGAAAGTACTCGTTTATAACGAGGTTCTACTTATAAGGGACAGCAAAATAAAAAGGTACTGTGTTTCACCGTACCTTTTCCGGGTTTTATTCTAGAATTTAAGAATCTCATATTTATTTCATCATAAACCTTATCAAAAATAAACAACAAAGCAATGTTTTCTTCCTCAAAGTTTTTATTTACAAGTTCTTGCTTAAAATCAAATAGGAGACAACGAAATTATGTAGAAATACTTCTCTAGAAAACTTTCTACAATTCTTGAAAAAAGAAATACGCAGCACTAGTTTTCTAGAAAGCTAGGAACATTTATTTTAGTGAGCTACGGAGTAATATTCCCCTGGAAGGCTATTTACTATGCCTAAAATAATACGGGGAAATATTCCTCTAGAAAGCTATTTAAATTTCCTTTGAGAAACCTAGAAAGCTATCCTCATTTCTCATTAAAGAACTTCGGAGTAATTTTCCTTTAGAATGTTATTTACAATTCTTATAAATGCAATACAGGGTTATATTTTTCAACCATGCTACATACAACTACGGAGCAATCTTTTATGAAGCTATATACTTTTCGCATGATAAAAATTCGTAGGAATATTCCTCTAGAAAGATAGAAATACTTCTTATAAAACAATACTGAGTAATATTTCTTTAGAAAGCTATCTAATTCTCTTGTAAACAAACTATGGAGTAATATTCCCCTAGAAAGCCTTCTAAAATTTTCTTGAAAAACAAAGGAGTAATATTCCTCTAGAAAGCTATCTACAATTTTCTTGAAAGACAAACTAAGGAGTAATATTCCTCTAGAAAGTTATCTACAATTTCTGTTGTAAAATAAGCTAAGGAGTAATATTCCTCTAGAAAGCTTTTTACAATTTCTCTTGAAAAATAAACCTCTAGAAATCTATCTACAATTTCTCTTGAAAAACAAAAAAGGCGTAATATTCCTCTAGAAAGCTTTTGACAATTTTTCTTAAAAAATAAACTAATGAGTTATATTCCTCTAGAAAGCTATCTACAATTTCCTTGAAAACAAACTAAGGAGTAATATTCTTCTAGAAAGTTATCTACAATTTCTCTTGTAAAAACAAAGGAGTAATATTCCCTAGAAAGCTATCTTGAAAAACAAAGGAGTAATATTCCTCTAGAAAGCTATCTACAATTTTCTTGAAAAACAAACTAAGGAGTAATATTCCTCTAGAAAGTTATCTACAATTTTTGTTGTAAAATAAGCAAAGGAGTAATATTCCTCTAGAAAGCTCTTTACAATTTCTCTTGAAAAATAAACCTCTAGAAATCTATCTACAATTTCTCTTGAAAAACAAAAAAGGCGTAATATTCCTCTAGAAAGCTTTTGACAATTTTCAATTTTTCTTGAAAAATAAACTAAGGAGTTATATTCCTCTAGAAAGCTATCTACAATTTCCTTGAAAAACAAACTAAGGAGTAATATTCCTCTAGAAAGTTATCTACAATTTCTCTTGTAAAATAAACTAAGGAGTAATATTCCTCTAGAAAGCTTTTTACAATTTCTCTTGAAAAATAAAAGAAGTAATATTCCTCTAGAAAGATTTTTTTTACAATTTTTCTTGAAAAATAAACTAGAGTAATATTCCTCTAGAAATCTATCTACAATTTCTCTTGAAAAACAAACTAAGGAGTAATATACCTCTAGAAAGCTATCTTCAATTTCCTTGAAAAACAAACTAACGAATAATTTTCTTCTAGAAAGCTATCTACAATTTCCTTGAAAAATAAACTAAGGAGTAATATTCCTCTAGAAAGCTTTCTACAATTTCTCTTGAAAAACAATCTAAGTAGTAATATACCTCTAGAAAGCTAAGGACATTAAAAAAATACTGAGTAAAGTTCCCCTAGAGAGCGTTGCTTGTTTCTTTGAAAAGAACATTAGGGTATTATTCTTTTAGAAGGCTATTTCTATTTTTAAAAAAAATCGAATTTAAAAATAGAATGATATTCATCGAGAGAACTAGGTATATATCTTGTTAAAGAACTCCACAGTGATATTTTGATTTCCTAAGAAAAAATCACCGGAGTAATATTCCTCTAGAACGGAAAGAACATTTCTTGTTTAAATCAAAGTACTGATACAGTACTGAAAGACGGGGTCAAATAAGAAACTTCATTATTTTATAAATTTCATTACTGCATGTTGAAATTTTTATTGTAGGGCTTTCATACCAACTTTGTAAAGGTTTTTATCATTATTATTATTTAATATCAACATAAATTAAAAAAAAACGAAATAGATTAATCAGTAATCACTAGTCAAGAAACTTTTTTAAATTGTCCGAATTTCACCAGGTTCGAATTAATATGACATTTCCGGATGTAAACAATCGTGACGCATATGCAGTCTTGTAATACGCAGCCGAGTAGTTTGTGTACAAGAGTGGTTCAGTATTATGTTTTTTTTTTACGTTTAAAATTTTCAGAACACATCTTTAATTTTAGTAAGAACATCTTTATATCACTCTCTTTAGTTTGATTCAGAGTGTTTGTATTTTAATCAAAACAATTTCTGCACTCTTTCATTTAGCGTAGATTTAATTCATGTGTTCTCCGCACGGCTTCCGTTTTGAGGCCTCAACTTAATAGACGGAGTCACGTGACCCCGTCTAAAAATAATAAACTAATTAGCAATATTTCCCCCAGAAAGCTACAGTGTATCTCAAAACATGTACTACGGAGTAATATTTCTCTAGAAATCTAGGTTTATCTTTTATGAAAGAACTACGGAGTAATATTCCTCTAGAAAGCTGTCTAGAATACTCTTAAAAACTGACCAATAATATTACTCTGTAAAGCTACATGTACGTTTTGTTTAAGAAGAACTATGGAATTACTGTAATGTTTCTCTAAAAAGCTGTCCAGAGTTCTCATGAAAAAAAAATACACAGCAATATTTCTCTATAAAACTCGGTTTGACTTTTAATAAAAAAAAAAAAAAGAAACAAAACAATGGATTAATATTCCTCTAGGTGGCTTTTTAAAATTCTCATCAAAACAAATAATTGCAGAGTATTATTCTCGGTAAAAAATAAAGAAGAAATATTCATCGAGAACGAAATCTACAATTGTTAAACAAGTAATATTCGTCTACATTTTTTTTTAACAATTCTTATGTTAAAATCACGAGGTAATATTCCTCTGGAGAGCTGATAACGTTCCTCTTAGAAAAACTCCGGAGTAATATTCTTGTAGAAAGCTAGGCACAACTCCTACAAAAATCTATAGCTAGCTATCTTTAAAATTCAAAAATGAAACTCTGGTGTACCATTCCTCTTGAAAGCTTAGAGCATTTCTTGTAAAAAAAAAAATCAAAGAGTTTAATTTCTCTAGGACTCTGGGTACATAATTTAAAAAAAACCTATCGAGTCATATTTCAATTGAAAGCTATCTTCTATGCTTGGAAATGAATACAACGGAGTAATATTCCTCTAGAAATCTATGTTTGTTTATATAAACAAAAAAATTAGAATATGAACTAACATTCCATGAAAATTTGTGAAAAGATATTGTGAAGAATGCTTAATACAATTTGAGTTAAAAATAATAATAAAAGTATAGAGAAACATACTGATAAAAAGCAACATGTACATGTATATACAATTATTGTAAGGCGAGACATTTTTACACTGTACTGCAGATTTAACAATTATGGTAAACAAGTTTAATTCTATAGTGCCAGTCCGATTGAAAAAAAAATTATTACAAATATAAAACCAACAAAAAGCTTCGGCAAAATACACATACAATTCAGATATTTGTTTTTAATATTCTAGAGTCTTTAAATGGTGAATTTAATATTTTTTACTATAAAAGCTTCAACGTTTCTATGAAAAATGAATTAAAAAAAATCGAATTTTCAAAACCTGGCACAACATACTTTGTTACAATTTTAGAAAAGATTTCATAACTTTTTCAATTTCGTTCTCTGTAATACTTTTCACAATTTTTCCCTTGTTATCAATCGACCCTTTAAAAGATGTTATAACATCTTCTGTCAAGACCTGTTGACAATCTCTAGAATTTAATTCCACAGACTTTTCTGTGATGTGAATGTCTTTGAATGTTTTCTCCTCATAGTTGAATTGCGTAATTGGCGCTTTACAGAAGACAAACTTCTCAGCCGATTCAAAATGTCCCAGGTATATATCGTTGATATATCTGACAATTCCACAGTTAACCTATCATTAAAATATCAAACACAGATTTACTGGTGATCATTTTTGATCTACCTGCCGAAACTACAACTGTCAAACAGAAATATTTACTATGTGCATGTAAGTAAAGACGCATTGATCTTTTTTTAACTCTGATTTCATGTATACAGATGTCTCATAAAGTATTGATTTCTTAAAGATTGTTTCTTTAATTTATAAATTGTATTAATTTTCAATCAATAACCAATCGATCCCCCTTTCCCCCTTTTGAATGAATTTAGTCAATGGTTAAACACTCAGAGTACACAGTTTATCTAACAGAAAAAAAGACTTATCACGACGTAGAACTTTCTTCGTGTAGCATGCACCATGAATATCAAAATTTTGTTTGAAAACCAAATATCTATTATATTCATGTTAAAAGTTTGACTTCAATATATTCTTGGAAGCAGAGAAATTTATTTTTTTTTAATAAGTCGGACTAACTTTAACTTCAGCCCATATAGATATATATATATATAGATAGATAGATAGATAGATAGATATATATTTATATATATATATATATACTGCTCTATCAAAATAAAAACAAATCTACCTGAATGTTTTCTTCTTTGTCGTCCTTCTGTTTAAGCTTTTTCATGTCCTCCTGGAAAGAATCAATTCAATTTTATATTGAATCCTTTCTCAAGACTCCTTTCTGAATGCTTACTTACTCTAAGTGTATATAGTGTTAGGTGTTCAAAATGATGCTTGTTTGTTACTCATGTCCATGTAAAAAAAAAGTTGTCAAATTTTCAAACTTGCAACTTACAAATATGTAAATGTTTTATAAGAACCTGAAATGTATTTATTAGTCAAATGAAGGACAATATAAGGCCATCATCTTGTCTTCTTGAAGCCTTTAAATTGATGGTGGCTGCATTATTATTTTTAAAGCTGTTACATTGTGGCCACTTATGTTTCATTTTCAAATGTAAATGCTTATAGAAGTGTTATGAAGATATTTCTGACAAGACAACTGCATTAACAAATAATTTTCAAGAGGCTGATCATTACAGTTATGAAACGTAAACTGTTTTACCGGGTATTATTAATTGGGTAGTTATCAAACTTCCTTCTTGAATATTGAATACATGTAGTTTGATGTTTCAAATTCTAGATTCTTCAAGATGTATCCTATGTCATTTTTATTCCATACAAAACCTTAAAAGTAATGCGAAACTTACAGATTCGGCCGATTCATAGTCCCAGGGCCTCTTAGTGAATATTTTCCTTTTTTGTGATGTAGTCTGCAAAAAGCAAATTTGAATTTGAATTCTAAACGAATTCATAAATCATACATTAACTTAAGGAAACTTGCAATATAATTTAAAGCATACCTCCGGTTTATTTTCCTCTTTAGTGGTTTTGGTCGTCTTCTTGTTTTCCTGCAAGGAAAAAATAATACATTTTCCTTAATTACGAAATACATTTTTTTAGCTAAATTGGTTATAACATGTATATTTATACAGCATTTCAGGTGTAAGTAATCTAAATCAGTTGATTCTGATTTATAAACAACAGGTCCATTGGCCACACCGCCCAGAGGACTTTGGCCAGGAAAAAGCAGAAATCAGTTCAGTTATAAAAAGTTTAAATATAAATTGGGAGCATGATTTAAACAATCTTTATTTTACACTACCCTAGGGTGCTTCAGAATAAAAATGACTAATTGTGGTTTTGTTGTTCTTAAAAAGAAGATTTTCATTATTTTTCCAAAACATTCCTTTGTTTGTTTGTATGTTGTTTAACGTCCCTCTCGAGAATTTTTCACTCATATGGAGACGCCACCACTTGCCGGTGGAGAGCTGTAAATTTTTGTCCTATGCTCGGCACTTCCGGAGCAGTGAAGGATCTTTATCGTGCAAGCACCTACTGCGACACGGGACCTCGGTTTATACGGTCTCATCCGAAGGACCGGTCTCCGCGTTCCACAGTGGGATTCGAACCCGCGACGTAAGGATCAACTCCTTACTTCGCGACTCTAGAGCAGACGCTCTAACCACTGCGCCACGCGGGCGACCATTCCTTTGTAAAACCCCTACTGTGCCCCCTCTCTACCACAGAGGATCACCATTGAACAAACTTGAACCTACATTACCTGAAAATGCTTCCATATAAATTTAATTAATCAGGAATTTGTTGTTCTAGAAAAGATGATATTTTTGCACAGATTTCTATGTAAGATTTTGATCATCCATTGTGGTCCCTCCCTACCCTTTGAGGTCATGACTTGAACAATTTATTTTTTATTTTTCTATTTACACAGCCTGAGGATGCTTTCACATAAATACGAAGAATATCGAAATTTGATCTGCCATTGTGCCCCACCTTACCGCCGAAGATCATGATTTGGACAAACTTGAATGCACTCTACCTTACGATATTTCCACATAAGTTTAACAAAAATGTCTTAATAAAGAACGAGAGCGCTTTTGATTGACATTTGGAAGAATTCTGGGCACACTTAAAACGTGAAAACTTTTAGGAACTTTAGAATAAAATTTTAACAAATTTTAGCACTCCTATGATGTATTATGTTCCTTATTTTTTTTAAGTGTGTTTCCATTTCCTAAAATTCACTTGAAACTTGAAACATGGATAGATGAGTCATTTTGTGTATACTTTTAAATTTTAAATCAAGCCTTTCTAACAATTTGTTATTTCTGGGTCATTTGTCCTAAATTTTGAAACGTAATTTGTGCGCATTTTAATTCAAAGAAACGAACAAACATTTATTTATAAAATGGCGAGAATACCTTGAGACAATAAAATAGTACCCCCACTCCACCTCCCAAAAAAAGCATTGTATAAATGCGTTGCTTCTTTGTCATTATCTGTAAAGTGATAAGAGCCGAGTAGCATGCATTACCAGTCCAGTGCACTTAGTGGTTGAAAAGTTTTAAAATAGATAAATTTTGGTTCAGTACACCATTCCAAATGTGAATGTAACATTTTCCTATGAACAGAAAGTCTGTACCGCTGTGATCAGCTGACTAAATCGTTATCACGAGTCTAAACCATATATGTTTTGTACTGATGGTTCCTTCAGATTGTACGTCAAGTATGCCTATATTATTTTTTTGTAAAATTAAGTGGTTTCACTTTTTTAACTTACTGGTTTTTCTGTTAGCTTTGCCCGAGCTCTTGTTGCAGCATCTTCAGCTAGTGAGCGCCTCTCTTTCTCTCTCTGTATCTCTATTTGATAGTACTCTTCTGATTTCTTAACAGAAAAATAATTACATAAAGTACATAAGCAAAGCTTTATTTTCTACAAAGCTTTATTCATAACAATATATATACATGTATTTTTAAAATAGCGATTGCCAAACGTAAAGAAACAAATACTATTAGAAAGTACCGCCATCAGTCATTCCGAGTATTCCCTGACTTAAATTATAAGATCCTAACTAGAAAAGAATTTTGATTTGTTTAAATTACATTCACTAGCAAATCGTATTCATTTTTACACGTAACAATACTTCCCTAGTGTATTGCTAGAAATTACAGGTCTATCCGATATTTTAATGTTTTAATTTAGAAAAACCCGGTCTATCGGAATTTCTATACATAGTTCTTAATTCAAGATATACAAACGAACCAATAATAATATTCATTACAAGTATAAATGTTAAAATATTCATTACAAAGTATAAATGTTAAAATATTCCTTACAAAGCATAAATGTTAAAATATTCATTACAAAGTATAAATATAAAGTTCTCTAAGTTAATTCTTGAAATAATTAATTGTTAAGATTTCTTCTTTTTCATCATCTTTGGAGTGTTTAAGGCATGTGCATATTAATTTAAAGTAAGAAAAAAAAAATAAATGTAATTTACTAAATTGGTTTTATTTGCATATAATTCAATCAAGACAATATCGTCTCTTCTTCACCGGACAACTATACGTGTATCGAGATGTTTTAATCTCTCCCACCGAAAAATACTGATTTTCATGGGTTTTTTTTTTATTTCTTTCTCAACAGTTTAATAATTTATAATGTACAATGCATTACCTTAAGGTGCAAAATTTCCTTTTCTTGCTCCTTAGTTTTCCCTCTCAGGCTCTCAATTTCCTTTTCCTGCTGTTTCATTAAAAAGGAAAAATATTTCTACATGTCTATGTACAAATATATTTCACTTCGATGATCCTAAGGAGCACAAATACTTTACATGATTTTTGAATATTCAAATTGCATGTGCCTGGATTTCAGTTATTGCACCGTGTATGGATTTAAAAACAAAATCTCTAGCCGTCGTATTTAGGGTTTTTTTTTCTAGCATATCGTGATCCGCATACTTAAAAAGATGTTGAAAGCTTATTAGTTTATTATATTTTGAATTCAGCAAAAATGCGATATAAAAATTTAATAACAATATTTGAGATAAATCCCTAAACTTTCGTGACTGTAAAATGTTATCTTATAAGATATTTTGTCATATAAACTTTTTAAAAATACTCTTTTTTAATCTAGGAATATTTTTATTAATTGTTGTAAAATTTTCTGTGTGTATATGTGCTTTGGGTCTGATTCTTTTTACGAGGTATCAAAGAAATGATCGTTAATAGTTACCTCAGATAATAGCTTGCTATTGAGTGCAAGCTTCTCCTCCATTCTTCTGTTTTTCTCCTTAACGTTCTTGAGTTGTTCTCGGAGGTCATTTGCTTTCATCTTTAATGCCTCTATTTCTTCTAAATTCCTAAAAGTACAGATATTAATAATGCAAGAACGTACTAACACTGTGCATCAGGGAATATTTTGCTAAATATATATGCACTGAAAAGATCTATATAGTTCTTTAAATACCTCTTTTCGTCACTTTCCGAAATACTGTCTTCTTGCTCCCTTATTTCTTCTGTGTGGAAATGTTCCTCAGTCTCTCTAAATCATATTTGAATAAATTACTATAAGCTTTTTTTTTTTTTTTAGAAAGAGGAGTTGAATTTTGCACATGTAACAGGATGCATTATACGAATTCCATTAAAAGAGGATATTAAAGGACCCTAAATGACCATCATTATTATCACTGAGCAAAATATATATATATATATATATATATATATATATATATATATATATATATATATATATATATATATATATATATATATATATATATATATATATATATAAAGAAAAGACTTTTAAAAATAATTTTCAAAATAAAAAAGTTGCATGTGTATTCGGTTATACTCTCCTCAAACTCCTTATCCACCCCATACTTATTATTGCATTTGATTAAAAAATATTTATTTCCCTTATCATTTTTTTAATTAAACCTGTTTATCAATAAGTATAAATCCAATAAGAAATAATAAACAACTTGAAATACAACTCAAAGCATATATATATACCTAAATTCAGATGCTTGAGTCTTTTCGGGTGTTTTTGTTTTCTCTACCGTGGCGATGCTCTTCTTGCCCTTTAGTGCACGTTGTTTTCTAAAAAAAACAAGGCAACATCAAAATTTTTATGGAAAGAACATATATACAAGTAAAAAAGTTAAAAATTATGTTAATTTGAAGAGGAATGTCCTGAACTGAATTTATTACTCTTTTCACAACTTCATAATTGTATACATGGTATACAGAGACACAAATGTAAACAATGGTGACAAATAACAAATTATAGCATATATTTTTTTTTTTCTAAATAAATGTACAGTTTTCTTAAAAAGGACTGTTTTTTCTGAATTCATTATTTCTCCAAATGTAATTGTATGTTTAAACCGTAATTGTTTTTGCGATAAACATTTATTTCTTTCGTGAATTACTGACGTATAGTTAAATATGTAAAGGAATTCATCGCCTATTTTTTTAAGTGACGTTTCTTACGTAATTTAGTTTCTCTTGGTTCATTTAGCCAGCCTCCACTTTGAATCGGTAAATAATGATAACAAGTACGAAATTTGCAGAAATTAATGACATCTTTTCGGGATAGAATATCTAAGTAGTTTTCAAATCTTAGTTCGTCTTTGTATATTCTGTAATTTAGAGTCTTTGATAAATTTTGAACATCCGAATTTCATTTTTATTTAAATTAATCAAGTTAAGTAAGTTTAACTTTTGATCTCAACCACTTTGGATTAGAAGTCTGATTTTGCCAAATATTTGAAAGTCCACAACTGTTTTAAATATTCAAGACATTATTTATCTAAGCAATCTTTGTCGTCTTTTGATTTACGATATCACTTTATTTGAACAGTAGACTTGATATTCTTGTTTCTTTTCCAAGTTTAAGTTTGCACCAATATGAAATAATACGAGTTTGTATTTCAATAAACATGGGATGCACAGGTACTTGTGGACAGGACCCCCCCCCCCCCTCGAAATTCAACCCCGAGGATTGTTGGACATTTTCTTCACAAATTATATTTATTACACTTATTCATCATGTGTACCAAAGGAAAAAATCGTGAAAACCCCAAAATAATCGTTCCACACAAAAATATCCCACAAGTACCTGTGATGGGATGTCGACCGAGTTCACCATATAACCATACAATCCGGAGTAGATTGTTTAAGGTCAAAAAGTAATACACAAAATTTTATATGTACTCTGTCTACCATTGCATTGTTCGAAAATCTCCATACCTCACGTCCGTACAGCAATATAGGCAGAACAATTTTATCAAACAGATCGCACTGACACCGCACTGATAGATTATGTGAGCGGAACTTCTTAAAAATTTCGAATATTACTCTATTTGCTTTGTCAACTTGTTTCTGTTTTGCTTCTTTGAATGAGCCCGATGCGCTAAATAAAATACCTAAATAATTGATTTCATTTACAACTTCAATAAGCTGTTCGTCGTATTTAAATTCAGGTTTTCTTTTTTCTATCATTTACTTATTATCAAAACCTTTGTTTTCTTAATATTTATCTTCAAAATCCATTTTCTGCAATATTTTTGAAAACAATGTCCGTTAGATCCAGAAAGCAATACCGGTAGTACAATTATATCACCGCATAGAGTAAGAGAAGCTTGCATAGAAACCATAATGGACATAATTACCTTGTATTCTCTCTGAACTCTGCTACGTCTATACTTCCTTCTGCTAGTTTAAGGAGAAGCTGTTTCCTCTCCTCAACCTCCTTTACTTTGGAGAAGTGGAGGAAGTCGTATTGGCTTAACTCATCACTTGATTTTAATCCTTTGACACTGCCACATTTGCAGGCTTGAAAAACTTTTTCTATGCATTCCCAAACTTCTTTGTCCTGTGATGCCAGATTTAAATGCACTTTATAAGCATTCTTGACTTCGTTCCTCTGAAATTAAGGAATCACAAACAATTACTTTTTTTTACATTTTAAATGCAAATATATCGCTCATACAACATTTATAATAGTCGATCGGAGATTTTAAAATAGCTTATTATTTTACAATCTTACATGTGATAAGTAAAAGAGATCACTTGTTAGTATCCGACGATGTCAACAGTTTTTTTTCATCATTCAACATTTTGTGTAACTTACTGTTTTATTTGTCACGGTTGCCACACGGCCTCTCCACAATATGGCGCCTTTCCGTGTATTTTCCTCCTCCGCAAGGACCCCAAATCTGAGTTTCCTAAAGAGAAGAACCTTCTCTTTGAATGTCATTTTTCTGGAGGACTCATGTATTTCATTATGCATGAATCCAAGATGGAGAATCTGGGCTGTAGTTAAATTTTCATAAACGTCAACAAGGGCACAATAATCATCATCTAAGATTCCTTCCTGTAGAAGTCGTTGTAAAACTTTCCTTGTGTGATTCCCTCCAATTATTTCAATTTCTGCTACATTTGGATTTCGAAGGACTTCGGGGTTCTCTATCTCTGTTTTAACTACACCAATTAATGTAGTGTAATGTCCATGAGACTTTTTGATCTGTGTGTATATTTTTTCTAAGTGTTCATCATCCAATGATCTGACCAGGCTCTCGTCTGACGGGGAAATAAGATTGGAGAGATGAACTGGAATTCGGGAGCCTACGAAAGATGTAATCAACATTTAGTATATTTATAAATATAAACTATATATATAAAACACAAGGAGAAACCCTAAAGTGCGACATTTATACCATTTGTATTACGTACCAAATAACAATTTTTTCAAGACATCTTTATCAACTGATTTATTTCTGACACCATCATCATCTCCATTTTCAGGCTTGTCATTCGCCGACACCGAGCAGTTACTTTCTGGCTTTTTCTTCTCTGCCGAACTACTCTTATACTTTTCCGTCATTATTAAGCTGCTTCTTGTCTGTTCATTCTCCATTGTTGAGTCGCTTCCTGGTTGTTTAATCTCCACTATTGAGCTGCTTCCTGGTTGTTTAATCTCCATTCTTGAGTTGCTTCCTGGTTGTTCAATCTCCACTGTTGAGCTGCTTCCTGGTTGTTCAATCTCCACTGTTGAGCTGCTTCCTGGTTGTTCAATCTCCACTGTTGAGCTGCTTCCTGGTTGTTCAATCTCCACTGTTGAGCTGTTTCCTGGTTGTTCAATCTCCACTCTTGAGCTACTTCCTGGTTGTTCAATCTCCACTCTTGAGCTGCTTCCTGGTTGTTCAATTTTCTTTGAGGAGCTGCTTCTTAGCTTTTCACTATCCACTGTAGTTTTCATCTATAATGTAATATTATGTAATAGTCAACATGTAAATCAAAAACAATTGTCCTTATTTGATAATTTTTAATTTTTTTTAACATGATTTTTCATTTTTTATTATGGAAAGTGAAATCTCTCTCTTATTTTATATATATATATATATATATATATATATATATATATATATATATATATATATATATATATATATATATATATATATATATATATATATATATATATATTATGGATGTCAAAATATTTATTTTCCTTAGTCGATTATTCGATTGCATTATTCGAACGATAATTGAATATATTCGGAACATTTTCTGAAAATAAAGTTGTATTTCAAACTTCTCTGGTACATGATGTATTTATACCCCAGAAACCCTTTTTACTTAAATCTATTTAGAAAGTACCATCAACATTTATGCAACGTAACGCGTGGATAGCTTAATTATTTGAGTTTCGAAACCTTATTCTCCAAAATGTATGATTTCCCCGTCAATAGAATTTATAAATCGGTCTGTACGTGCAGTCAGTTAATTGCCAGGAGATATTTTTTAAAGCTTATTATGAAATAAATTGGGGGGGGGGGGTAATCTCACATGTACACTATCCGCACGTCAAGTGCCTGTGAAATTGTTAAACAGTTATATACTCCTTATTCGATTATTGTTTGCTCTGGCTATCAAAATGTTCTTATACAGTTTAAAATGTAAGCGAATTGTTTTAATAATTATGGTAGTGTCAAAACATGTCACAGCTATGGTTTCTTCCTTGCGTTTGAGCAATCTTAAAATAACAAAAAATAATTTATACATGGTATAAGGTCAAGTCCACTTAATAATTTTATAAACAAAGCCTAGTAAATTGGTGGGTAATTAATTACAAAAACAACACAGGTAGTTACTGATAAATAATACCCGCAGTACGCGGCAGAAGTGAAGCACTTATAATAACTGTACTTTCTATACCTACATGGAAAATCAACCGTTTTTTTATGAGGAAAATCATCTTACCGACTGTTTTTGGGGAAAGACGGTATCTCAATTCTGTGATGAGAATTCCATCACGTTATCACTCTTTTAATGCATTTATTTAATTATGATAATATTCGAATGTCGATTCATTATTCGATCGTCGGTCTATTCGACTGATAGTCGAATAGTCGACTATTCGTTGACATCCCTAATATATATATATATATATATATATATATATATATATATATATATATATATATATATATATATATATATATATATATATATATATATATATATATATATATAATGCATTCATTAAAAACTGTTTACCTTTGTTTCATTGATCCAGTCCATAAACTTTGAGCGAGATGAACGTATTGAATCGGTTATATTTCCCTCTTCGGAGTAAAGATCCTTTAAATTTAGAGTCATTGTCTCGTTAGTCTCAAGGATAATCTGAAGTAAAATATAATAAATAAATACTATAGTGCTGATTAAATTCTAAAAGTACTGAAACAGTGAAACCTGGATTACTTACACGAGCTGAAATCTACCTGATAGTTTATGAAGTTATAAATTTCCCAATTGCTGTAAAATTTCATAATATGGGTATGATTGAAAAAAAAACCCATGAATCCATTCATCTTTAAAAGGTTTGCATATGAATGGTACAGGAGAAGGTTTTCAAAGCCCATATAAATCTTTGATCTCGGACTTCTCTAGCAACAGAACCTACCCCAGGAACTATGCATGATTTAAAATAATTAAGAATCCTCACTATCTCAGGAAGCTTTTTTTGTGAAAGGCTCGTCCCTTTGGATAAGTGGTCTTCAGAAAAATCTTTTTTAAAGCTTTTCTGTTGTGGTCCCAACCCCTCCCTGGGGGCCATGACTTGAACAAATTAGCTAGAATATACTTGTACATGTAACGGTTTTATCTCTATAGGCCCAGTATTTTTTAGAAGATTTTTAAAGATTTCTTTTTTCTATTTATTTCTATGTAAAACGTTGTATCCTTTTGTGGCCCCACTCAACCCATGATTTAAGCAAATTAGAATTTAGAAAGCTTTTACACAAGCTCTGTCTCTTCTGGCCCAGTGTTTTTTGAAAAAAAAAAAACATAAAAATTTTCCCTATATATATTTAAATTTAAATCTTTGATCCCTCTATTTAGACCCCACCCAAAATTTGAACAATTTAGACTCTACAATAACTATGGGATATTTTTACATAAATTTCACCTCTTCTGGACAAGTGGATTTCTATGAATTTTCCCTGTATATTTCAATTAAAAACTTTGACCCCTCTCAACCCACAGGAGCCATGATTTGAACAATTTAGAATTTACTCTATACATGTACCTCATGAAGTTTTCACACAACTTTCATCTTTTCTGGCGTAGTGGTTCTTGAAAAGAAGATTTTTGATGACCCTACCCTATTTTTTGCCTTTGCTAAATCATCTCCCCTTGAAACATGACTTTACTTGGTACCAATGTTGATTAAAATTGTTCCAATGGTTTTGAGAATAAGAATGTGAAAAGTTTACAGATGGACAGCTAGACGGACGGACGCCGGACAACGGATGATAAGAATAACTCACTTGAGCTTTCAGCTAAGGTGAGCTAATAAATTAATAAAATCATATAAATTATTAATCTGCTAAATTTTAAGATGCTGTAATCATACTAAAGTCTGAAAAGTACATGTATGAAGTATGAATTTGTCTTCGTCACATATCTTTTCCATATAAATAAAATAACAATAACAACTAGAAAATCTGCTATTGCAAGCAATAGCGTATGTCACCCCAAACTGAACCATAAGCTCTAGGATTGTTCCAAAGAAAGAAAGTATTCGTAGAAAAATCCCCCCCCCCCTCCACTTCTCACTCAAGTTATATAAGGTATTGTCTAGAAGAAAATTGATTTTGAGAGATCTGATTGGTTTAAAAAATTATTAATTTTTCTCTGATATCAGGAATAACAAGGAATAACAATGAAGTCTTATACAGAAGACGAAAGACCTTAATTTACAGTATGCCTGGTTCACGTCAAAACATGGCTGACGCAAAATAGTTCCTGAATTTTCCTCTTCAATTCGGGCATTTTTGCATAGGACATGGACTAATTTTTTTATGAGATGATAAAATATGAGTAAACTTTTTTTTAAATTTAGCAGAATCATGAACATTTCCGGTGTGCTGAATGTACGATAGTGATGATGCTTTTACACACCTGCAGGAGCGGGTTCCAAGATTTTCAAATTTATAAAAAAATCGAATTTAAATTGAAATAATTCTAACTATCAATGAATGAAATTATTCATATGCAAGTAATACATTCACAAGAAAACGCGAAATGCTAATGAATACGACTTAAGCTTACAATCACTACTTCGTTCTAAGTGATATATAATGTTGTTAGTGAGTTTTTAAACTAACATAAATCTCAGTTGTAAATCAAAAATAAATACTCACATCAATGCGATTGATAAATTGTCCTGGCTTCACATTTCTTACAGGATATCTTTCTTTACCATTCCCAACATGCTTAATGACGCAATTGTCAGAAATTGTCCATTTTCCATCCATATTTTGTTAAATATCCAGTTTGCACTGTAGCTAAGAGTTAAATGAGCAAATGCGGTTCATAATACAGAGATAAATGACCATTCCAACACAACCCCGCTGTGCGGTCGAAGCTTGAGACGTAAATACTCTGGACAACATAACACTTGAGTGCTAAATTGCATAAAAATCCTAAAGAGAATCATTTTGATTCACAGTTTAAGATTAATAAAGATACACCCTGATTTTAATAATGTAATTTTATAGTGTTTTTTGGCATTAATAAAGTTTTCAACGGCCGAATTACAAATATACACAAAACATATAAATACTTTTATATGACACTTTTTTTTTTATTCATGATATAACTTTCTGAGGGTTTTTTTTTTTTTTGGGGGGGGGGGGGGGCAAACTATTATATTCCAAACTCAATTACTACATACTGTAGAGAAGGGAAGAAAAGAAAATTATTACATATATGCGCGGATCTAAAGAGGGTGGCGTCAAAGCCCCGCCCCTGGGATTTTCAGAGTCGGAAAATATCTTTGTAACGTAACAAAAAATTATACTTCACCCTCTCCCCTTTCCAGGAAACACTATGTAAATGGTAAGGAAGTTGTTTATCTTACAAAAAAGGACTTAAAATAACTGCCATGTCATACCATACTACACCCCTGGTATTTCTTTAGGTATGGGCAATTTATTTACCTGGAAAAAAAATTCCCGGATCCGCAAATGACAAATAACTGGGTTTTTTTTTTATTTATAAATGATGCCTAAAAGAAAGATAAGTTTGAAAATCTGCCCCCCCCCCCAAGAGAGAGAGAGAGGGGGGTTGGGTTGAAACAACTATAAAGCACTAGACCAAATGTTGTTTTTTTTTTAAAGATTCCAATAGAACATTTAATATTTTCTCAAAAAAAAACATTTTAAAGTATGCGTGAAGTTTAATATTTGATTTGATGCTTGGTAGGGACTAGGAAGATACTTGTCTTCATACACACTTTATATATAATTTGTGTATATGCACTGAGAATTTCAGATAGAATGATGTTTAAAGCCCAGTTTGGGTCTCCATCTCCTCCCTTCCTGTTGAACCTACTTGTATTATGCATGCATTTACATGTAACATTCAAACTTTCTATGCAAGTATGAATGAGTTGAATGTATTGCAATCCTGAAGGACTTGAGTTATGGTGTATGCGTACATATTTACTAGCACATGAAATCTTTTATTTTTATCACTTTTATTTTTAAATTAAAATGTTTATCGAAAACATTGTTCAGCCTTAAATGATACATTTTCAAACAAGCCAATGGTTAAAACTTCTTTTCAAAGATTTCACACGTTGTGTTTCTGTTTTCTTAGTAATGTGATGCAATGCTCGTTCCTACTATATTATCGCAGCACGTGGTGTCTGGTATGAAGGCGTTAGCGGGGTAATTAGAACCCTGGCATTAATTGCTGTGTTAGTAGCTCAAGCTAGTTTAGAAACGATAGATCATTTTTGCAGGTGTCTATCTTTTATTCACGTGAAGTTGGAAAATACGAAGTGACCATGTGAACTTTGCCCTGTCTTTCCTAGAGTAAAAAAAGGCGCGAATTTAAAATTAAAAGGATCTTAAATATTTGTCAACTAAATTCAATGAACCATACGGACGTTGTTATGGTTGAAAATGCGCTTAAGATCAATTTCATTCTTTCTATTGTATAACTACAAATAAATATTTCTAAACATGTTAATTAAAATCGAGATTGTTGACAATTTCAAAAATATTACTTAATCATTTTAAGAAATATATTTTAGAGAGATGTATCAGAAAGCTGAGGAAAAAAGAAAAAAATAATAAACGTAAAAGAGAATTTGATTTGTATCACTAACTTGATATTCCTATTAATTGATTTCAAATAATTAATAGTTGGGCTCAAAGTAAATATAATTCGGTATATCGATATTATGTTTTAAATAATTCACCGAGCTTAGTAACCCCCCTTTTTTCCTGGGCTGGGGGTCTTAAAGTTTGTTGACCAAAACATACTTGAATCAAATGTTTCTTACATGTATATTGAAACTTTTTAAAGCAACGTGATGGATCAGTACTTTGCACATTAGCATGGAATGAATATGGTACGATTATTGTACCAATTTTTTAAAAATATTAATTTCAATATATATTTTAGTGATTTCTGCTAAGTGAATATTTTTGGTATATACCCAAATGAAACAATAATAATCGTGACTAACTGGACGGATTGTCTATCTGCTTATAGGTATACTGCTACTTGCATTGTTGTGCACTTTCTGTTAAAATTAAAGAAAAAACACCATTCTAAATGTTTCATTCTGTAGTAACACTGGTTGGCCAATGGGTCTTATATAGACAGACGTTCCATTTGTGTCACAGTTTTGATTGATTTCATATTTGATATCGTCATTTTTAATCATTCATTATTTATATTAAGTTATTTATTCATTTTTAAATTAATTTTAGGATACAATTTAATATAAGGGTGCGATTAGCGGACAGTAAAATGCTCTCTCCTTCTCTCTCTTTTTATTACATGTATCAATTAGTACTTTCTCATAGAAAAATTGACCAGACCCTTTCCATCCCTTCCCCAATGGGCTATATACAAAAAATTGCATCATATATCATTGACCAAGGATTACAGGCAATTAACTCTAGCGGCGTGTCGACAGGCAGAACGGTCAAAGCAACCTTGTCAGTTAAAATAACTTGATGTCAATGTTAGTGCTACAGATGTTTTTCCAATTCAATTCAATTCAATTCTTTATTCACTCAAAACCAGATCACTGGTACAAGAGGTACATATACACATATATACAAACAAAAATTACAGTC